GGGGAGGGGGCCACCGGCTGCGCCTGCCGGGGCTCCGGACAAGACAAGGACTCTGGAGACTGCGGCTGATACATAAGCTGGGGTTGAGACTGTAGCAGCTGGGGGTCTGGCTAAGAGGAGGGCTGGGGCAGCCGAAGTCTTGGCTGAGAGGAAGGTTGTGGCAACTGGAGAATGGCTAACGGTTTTTGACCAGGATGTCACCTTTAACCAATCAGAAAAGGCTACTGTCAGCGGTGGGAACTCACAGCTGTCAATCAGTAGGTGAACATGCTTTTATATCTACATAGGAGCCGGTCCCCTGTCATGGAGGCCACCATGTTGAGCTGCCATGATTCTACAGTAGCCCAGAATGGACAAACCACACACTGGATCTAGAGTGTGAATTTCACGTTTTCACAATGAAGTAGTAGCTTTGGAGACACCTGGAAGGCAAAGAAGTAACATTAGAACCGAGGAATCACTGTCATGAGTTTAAGAATTACAATTTGAAGTAATTGAGGATCACAGCTATACTTTAACATAAGAAAAAGGAAACAGTGTGAATCTCATCGAAGAAGCAAAGACACTAAAAAACAGGATAGGCCACAGCAGAAAATGAGGATATCAAATCAAAATCCAATAAAAGTTTACTTTTATAGCACTATAAAACCTAGCAGGTTTTTGACCAAAGTACTTCACAACTAATGCAAATAATACACAGATAAAAATACATAAAATGGATGGAATAAAATAAAATATAAAGCTTTATAAATTAAAAGCCAAGGTAAACAAATAGGTTTGTAGAAAAGACTTAAAAAGTGCAAGCTCTGTAATAGATATAATGTGCATCAGTAAGCTGTTCCAAAGTTTGGGGTCAGACACAGCAAAGGCTCAGTCTCTTCAATGCCTGCACCTGGACCTGATTCACTGACCCAAGTTCTCCTTCAGGTCTGTAAAATGCAAAAGTTCTGTCAGATAAAGTGGAGCAAGTCCATTAAGAGCTTTAAAAACAAACATCATAAGTTAAAAAGGATAAACATTGGTGTGTCCTTTCCCAGATGGAAATGCTTGACAAATGTTTCCAAGATGATGTTGAAGTTGCCTGTTTTCTGCTCAACAGGTAATTTAGCCTACCAAGTAAAGCCAACCTAAATATAAGTTTGTGTTTGATAGCTTTAGTTAGAACATGGCTGGCGCTGGGTAATCCACTGCGGTCAAGTGTTATTATTGAATTAGAAAAGCTTTAAAATGTTTTACACGATATAGTAAGTAACACTTCCACCTTGAAATAAACAGCCCTTTCAACATCACCTTGTCATGAGTGTACATGTTAAATGTGAGAGTGCAGACACTGGGTCGCCAACATATGCCTGCTGAGATGAGCCTGGCTGCCTATACTTCCATCTGTCTGCTTGCAGAAACCCCTTCTATAACAGTCACAAAAATCCAAACATGAAAGTGTGTCTTTTTCCATACTTTTTGACTGTCAGGCAGTTCTATACACTGTATCTAATACACTTGAAGGCAAAAGTGTTGAGATCCAACAACTCTGAGTCAAATTATTTGAGCCTTAAAAGCTTTAAGAGCTATAGTCCTTATCTGGTCTTCCTTCGCTCAGCAGACGGTAACTGTATGAACGTCTCCGCCAGTCGTCTGCAAACGCTCTTATCACCGCTTGGCTGCATACCTTCTCCCTACACTCAAAAATGGTGCCACAGTTTATTGAACTGTATGTTAACGGTTTAATCCCCAAAATGCGATATATGATATATCCATTTGGAAGAAAAGGTACTTGATATTTTTCCTATTAAAACATTTGATTGTATCCCATAAAAATAATACTATTTTGTAGATAAAGGTCAAGGGATACCTGATGACAAAAGCAATGTTTCCAAATAACATACCTGAATTTGTAATAAAAGGTCAATTCCACCACATGTAACCATATCCCTGCAAACCCCTTAATGTAGTCTAAGTTTTACAGTTATAAAGCCCTTCAAATGTTGCAAGAGCTCAAATCCACACCAAACATGAGATAGATTGTTTTAAAGTATGGCAGCAGCTTAAACAATAATTGTGTGGCTTAAACTCCCTACATTCCCCTAAGGGTTATTAACAAAAGTAATGTTTATCATAGTGTCGGGCTCCCCAGCAAATAAAACAAAGGGAGAAATGTGTTTGTACCAGTAGCAGTGTAACCCACTGCATCACTGTAGTTGAGTGCACACAGGCAGAGCAGAAAAAGCTGTTGAGCAGCCATAATAGTGTCTGTGTTTGTCATGTATACACATTTTTAAACACAGATACACCTCATACATACATCTACAGATGTGCAAAACTCAAAGTAGAACTGACATGAACTCAGACTATAAGGCGCATATTTATGTCATTTCTGGCAAACAATCTTCAGCAGTCCCAGAGGAAGCTCTTCTCACATTTGTTTCTCTGTGTTAGCTACAAAAACTAACAAAGAAAAAACATAGCTGGCACATATGCAGAGGGAAGAATGAACTGTACCATGCATAATTAATGAGTCCAATTAATAAATCATATATTAACTGAACATTTAATCAGCCCACATACTTCAGAACTCCTAAAGTCACAAGAGAAGTGAGGCTACCATTAG